CGTTTGGGAAATCATTCCGGTTTTAGTGTTTTCTGTATAAGCCGCAGAGCTGCTAATTAATAACTGCTTTTATTTTTTGACTGTTAGCCTTCCAGTATTCAAAATGAAAGGTTTGTCTGCTATCACTGTGTGATTGAGTTTTCCAAAGCCTCCAAACCAGGGTCAGTGCTCAGCTTGGAGACAGCAGGAACTGCTCCTGACAGAGGTTTGTTTTTGTTTTTTTTTTTTTTTTTTTTTTAACCTTAGGGAACAATCTTTGAGTCTTATTTTTCTCCTGTGCTGAGCCTGGGCAGTGCATGCGCTAGCACCAAGCCCAGCACACTGGCACAAGAAGGACATGCCACAGACATATATGTGAGCAGGAGGTATGCGGTGCCTGTGTAGTAGCCCCCAGTGGGGGTTCCCCACCACCTAAAAAGCATTAGAGCCACAGTGACCCTCAAATCACATTGTTCTGGTTATCTTTTAGTTAAAAAAGAGTTGTGGCAGTTTGGTATGCAAGAAGCTTTAAAAGTATCTGTTGTCAGCTTTTGTGTTATGTGGAGCAGCAGCAGTAAACCTACTTCTTCTGCTTATTTTTTTTTTTAGATGATTTCCACTTACCTCTTGATGTCTTACCAGCTGTGACAGAAGCACTTGACTCCAAGACGAAAGGAGAAGATTTGCACAAGGAGAGCAGACCTTTCCACTACTGTGAAAAAAAAACCATGGACCTGTCAGACAGTGACCGTCCTGTCAGCTTTAGCTCCACTTCCTCTTCTGCTTCCTCCAGGGACAGCCACTGCTCCTTTGGAAGCAGAATGACCTTGGTTTCAAACAGCCACTTGGGCTTGTTCAACCAGGATAAAGAAACGGGTGCCATCAAGCTAGAACTGGTCCCAGCCAGGCGATTTTCCAGCAACAAGCCACGCAAAAACGCTCCTGCAGAGCAAGAAGATCCTGAGGAAAGCCTTGAAAAAAGGCTAAGTGTGCCAAGGAAAGCAGAACCAAAAGGAGTGAGCAAAACCTGTGCAATGTCGCTGGTTACAGAGCCTACCAGTCCCAAGCTCCTCTATGTAGACAGAGTCGTCCAAGAGATTCTGGAGACAGAGAGGATGTATGTGCAGGATCTAAAAAGCATTGTGAAGGTAGGAGTCTTGGTTAGGATGGTGTTGAGTGTTCCATAATGCTATTTTTTATATTGTTTGACTTCACAGCAGGACAGGTGGGCCTGACAATGGAATTGGCATTTGCTGGTCTTTATTAATTAGTGTAATATCATTGTTCTTGTGTGTTTCTAGTTTTTATTTGGTTAGATAAATCTAAGCTGCTACTATGTGTTCATGAAGAAATAACATGAAAAAGAAAAACATTCTACAGTTGATAGCAGTAGTGAACAAAGAGTGGTAAACTCTTTGCAATAATATTTATTTACCAAAAAAAAGTACAATTCTGTTTCCTAGAACGTACAGCAGGAAGCAAACAGCAGACAGCTTGTTTTCCCCTTTAAATAAGGGTCTCACTTATTGATTCTCCCCTCCCAAATCCTTGTCCTGCAAGTTCTTTCCAGCCTTTTTCACTCTCCCTTTCATGTGGCTCACAGCTGCAGTCTGTTCACTCCATGTCCTTGGCCTGTAATATTGAATATGGTGTGTGTATTTGCTGGAAAACACTATTGTTTGACTGTTTTGTAAAGGAATTCTGTTTTCTTTAATATAATTCTAAATGAGTGGTGCTAATAAATGGGTGTAGCATTTATTAGCAGCAGTGAAGTTTTTGTCCAATCCCCAGATGAAGAGTATCTTTCATTTCCCTTTTCTAGCACAAGGAAAAAATATGGATGAGTCCACCTGTGGATTGTTCTGCCTGCTCTACTTCTAACTGCGCCATCAGAGTCATGGTTTTTTTGTGTTTTTGAAGATAAGTCCCGTGGCTATTGTTTGTAGTCTACATACTTAACCTATGAGTGTATGACTGCTCACAAAGACGGATTTCTTGAGAGGTTCATGTTTTTAGGTAGCTGTATGAGGTCATCTGAAAAAGGAAATATCAGTCAGCTGGAGACACCCTCCCCACCTGCAGTTCCAACCGCTTGGTTCCCCAAGCAATGAGCAGGAGAAAACGCTAAGGCTTTGTTAACACAAATGCATGTCATGATTAAACACCCCCACCCCCCAGAGTGGGGGTTTTCTTCTCACAAAGAAGGCTGTTTCTGCAAGACTTTATTGGTTTCTGTAGCTGCTGCTGTTTCTCTACTTTCAACTGTAGAAACTTAAGAGTGTTTAAGGTTGTTGTACGCTGCAGAAGCAAGCCAGCTTCTGTGCATGGTCACCATTCACTAGGCATGACCTGTGTGGTTTTGGAAACCTTAGCTCTCACTCATCCTCCTGTGCAGTAAATTACACACCTTGAGAAACTGGAAACTATCATTAAAATCTTGAAACAGATTTTCCATTTACAAGTAGGAAGGCCAACAAATGCTTGCTAGAAATACTCTACATCACTACAGTAGATGTAGAGTAACTGTGGCAAATGCTTTTGAAGTTATGAAAGAACTGGAGGGATTTACCTGTGAAACACCCAAGCATATTTCCTACAGCAACTAATAAATCATGAATCTTGAAAGCTTTGCGTGGCACTAGACAGCCTGTTTCAGAGATGGAGTTGTTAGCAGTGCGTCTTTTCTTAGGTAGATGTTGAGGATCTGAGGCTTTCAAAGGCGCTCCTTCCCAAATGGTGAGGACACTGGGGAACCAGTTACCTCAGGCTGCGCATGTTCTTTGTTTGGTCTTAGGAGAGAGAGGTGTGACTGCAAGCATGTTACAGAAGAGCCCATTTTATGTGTTTCTTGGGATTCTTTTCTCCACAAGTTACCTTAGCAATGCTGCAGAGATTTCCCTAATCAAGGGTGGTGGCTGTGAGAAGGACGGGAAGACTGCACAGGCATCTGCAGTGTCACAGCCTTAGAGGATTTGATTATCTGGGCATCTATGACTTGAGGTCACTTAGTCTGGCAGCCAGCTGACTGGTGCTGAGACAAACTAAAATGAAGGGAAGCAGCTTGATCTGTCTTATTTTCCAGGTAGATATGGGTCAAATTTTGGAAGCTGGTTAGGAAATGGGGCAAGAATGGGAAAAGGGGAGCGAGGGAAGTATCAAAGGACAACTGCTGCGCAAGAAGTTTGTGGGAACTGAAGAGATACCTGAAGATGGGACTCGGTGGAGGAAAGCATAAGCAAATGAACCAGTGCTAAGTGGAGAAAGAAGATCATTAGAGGCAAAACAATATGAGGAAATAAGAGAAAACCCAGCAAGTGGAAAGTTGAGGGGAGAATGAAATTTGGCTGGAACTGGAGCTCTCTATTGAGTTTTGCGGCTGACTGCAATACAGCAGCTTATGTACACAGACTAAAACTAGTAAAAAAGGTTTTTTGTTTTGGGGTGGTTTTTTTGGGGAGGGAGGGAGGGAGGAAGAGAAGCAGGGCAACCCAGGTACAAAGAGCTAAAAGCTGAAGAGATGTCAGACTGAGGATGGCATATGAACAAAAAGGGAGAAATGAATAGGTTCTATTTTAATCACCCTTTACCCCACTCTCTAAATTTCTGGTGTAATGCAAAGTATGTTTGCCTGTGATGCACAGTCAAGCTTTTTTGGGGATGTCTGGTTTTCTTTTGTTTGTTTTTTTTTTTTTTTTTTAGTTTTGGGGGTGGGGGGATTTGTTTTTATTGAGTGGGTGGTTTTGTTTGCTTTGTGGTTTTGTTTTTGTTTTTTTTAATACATCCACATTCTTTGCTGTCATCTGGATTGTTAATGAATATCTTAAACAGGACTGGATCCTCTATTAACTCCTGGGGTATGCTGCTCGTTACTGGCCTCCAACTAGATTTTGTGTCTTTGATCACCACGCTCAGGGCCTGTCCATTCAGCCAGTTCTCATTTAACCTCATTGTCTACTTATCCAAACTATACTTCATCAGCTTGTCTATGAGGATCTTACAGGAGGCAATGTCAAAAGGCTTTCTGAAGTCAAGGTAGACAATATGCACTGCTCTCCACTTACCTACCAAGCCAATAATTTCATTGTAGAAGGTTATTAGGGTAGTTGACTTCCCCTTGGTGAATTCATGCTGACTATTCTTGATTACCTTCTTGTCCTTCATGTTCCTGGAACTGGTTTCCAAGATTAGTTGTACACAAATGAAAAGAACATCCACAGCTGTACACAAATGACCCATTAACATGGATGGTGTGAAATTGCGTGTAGGATCCTGGTACTATTCATCTTATCCAAAGTCAGCTCATTAAGAGTTAGCCTAGCATAGGATTTTGAGCAGTGTCCTTTCATCCTATGTTATCCTTAAAACATGTAGAGGTATTATGCTTGATATAAGAGACTATGGAGTGAATGGGGGAAAAGAGAATTTTACCCTTTTTGATGCCTTTATTGACCTAATGCTGTTAGGTCATTAGTAAGTAAATAAATAAAAGTAAACTAAAAAGGGCATAACTTCTCTTGGCTTTGGAGTATCTAAAATGCTAGACAGATCTAGAAATTGACTTCACAGGACATGGCTAATGTGATCTTTAACTGATACTGTTGACCTGCTGAGGTTCTCCAGCTTTCTTTCAAATTGCTGATAAGAACTATTTCACAGGCTTAGGATGAGTGAGAGGAGGCCGTACAGACACTATTTGGCTGCCCTTACCTCAGGATATGCTTTAAAAACAACTGCTTTTCTAGCCAGTACAGCCATTTTGTCTGTGGCCTGAAAGAACAGTTGAATCCTGATTGTTTTGAGGCATGCTGCTGTGATTCTTGCACAGGCAAGCATTGTGACAAAGATAGAGCGAACTCTTCCATTGTTTGGTATGTTTTATCAGATGATCTGTTAAATATAATTAGAATTTTGAATTAGTACAGCTTGAAGCATGTTTTGAGCAAGTTTATGATGAGAAATTGGATACCTCTGCTTCCTGCTTGTGTCATGCTGACAGGTGTACTGGCCAGGGCTGAACCTGCAGACCTTCTCTTCAGGACCCAGCCTGACTTTTTAAAGTAGTAATTTAGTTAGAATAGGCATAAACTTCAATTAGAGTAGCTTACTGAAGTAACTTTTTTTTTTTCCCTGAGTAAAATGCTGTCCCTGAGTTTTTAATAAAATGTGTTTTGCTCTTGCAGTTCACAGGAGTCAGAAGCCCATTTCATAACTTGTACAAATGCTTGTAACTGTAGAAAAAGACATCTACACTTATGGTTTTTCTTTGCAAAATGAAGGAATAATGCAAACGCACTGTTACAGTGCATGCATCTGTCATGTTACATTAAATGCACTCTCACAGTGATACCAGCCTGTTGAGAACATCTAGATACACTGTGTGAATCTCAGCCATTTGATATAAAAACTCCTCTCAGTAAAATAATATCTGTAAGAAGTCGTTGGCATCTATACAGTAGCTAGAGGGGCGGGAAGCATGCGTTGTCAGTGCATTTCACAAGTACAAGATGTAAACGGAGGTTGGAATCTTGAACTCCATCTGAAATCTGGGACACTTATGTGAATGAGTTCCTCTACCCTTTCACTCCAAACATGACTTTTTTTTGAACCATAGCTACTGGACTAGTTGAAGTCGCTTTCCTATCTTCTCTCCAGATCTTTTGCCTCCTGCCCCTGTTTTTTTTATGTTTAAGACTCCTCATTCAAGCCTTTTCACCTAGAAAGTCCTGTTCTTTTCTGCACGCTGTTCTGCCTACGGTTTCCCTGCCCATCTGTCCTAAGTCCTCAGTAAATCCCATCCTCATCCCCTGTCAGTCCATATTGTCTCACTTCCTCCTATAACTCACCACTCTTTAGTCTTTCTCTTTCCCATATTTGTAGTGTCTGTTGACTCCAGATCTCTCTCTATTTCTCTTGATGGGTCTGAAGACTTTTAAATAACTTTTTGCCAGGTGTGTTGTAGTTCTCCCTTTATACCTCAGCTTTTTGTTCAGTCTTTTTTTTTTTTTTTTCTTCTGACAATGTTTCCATCAGTATTGTTAATTTTTCTGCCCTCTTAAGTTCTCTGAACATTCAGCCTCCATCTTCTGGCATCCCTCAAGCTTTGTTCCTGTTTACTCCTTATCTTTCTGTAGGACTTCTTTGTGTCTTC